CCCCCTCGGCTCTGCAGTCATTCCCCAGCCCGCTCTGCGACATCCTCCTCCCAGCGGGCTGGGTTGTTTTTCCAGTTCTTGTGAAGCTTCGCACACGTACCCTGCTCACCAAGTGTGGCTGATTGAATTGAGTCATTCACATTGATGTTTCTGAGCTCCAGTGCTTTTATCAACATGTAACTATGCAAAGTGCAAAGAGAGAAAGAGAGCTTAGCCCCTGTCTACGGTGCTAGAAATCAGGCTAATAAGGAAAAGGGAGTTTCTGGCCTGATGTGTGGACATAACCCGTTGTTCCTGTTGTCTCTTGTTTCAGCTGTGGTTTGTGAGGCTGGCACTGCTGGTGAAGTTAGGCCTTTTCCAGAACGCCGAAATGGAATTTGAGCCCTTTGGAAATCTGGACCAACCAGACCTTTATTACGAATACTACCCGCATGTGTATCCAGGACGCAGGGGTAAGGCAGTGGTCCTTAATGTCTGCGTGATGGCATGTGTTGGCCCTGTTTTTCTGTCGCTTAGGTGTAATTAGGTATCTTCAATTTTTCTCATTAACCCAATCCTGAAAAATCAAATGAGCAGCCCAGCAGCCACGATCCTGAACTTGCAGAGTGAGCGCACCTGGCTTTGCAGCCACGTGCCCTGCCGGTGCTCACTCGCACCTCCCGGGTCCACACAGCAGCCACCGTCAGGCGTGTGCCCGGGCAGGCGAGGTGGTGGCTGCAGGGCCTGGACACTGGACATCGGGCTTTTCCCACTGGGGCCTAAAGTAAAAGCTGCTCTTTGATGCACACGCACTCCTGCGAATGAAGGGGCACCCGTCCTTTCCACATGGAGTACACGTGAGAGGTCTCCCCAGGTAAGGCTGCAGAGAGGAAAAGACACACTATAGAAGCCCTTGTGGCCTTGAAGTGGAGGACTGACCTTACCGAGAAACCTGAGCCCTCTTGTGTTCTTTAGCAAAAAACTGACGTGAGAGGAAATCTCGAGAGGCAATGTGAGCAGTTATTAGAAGCTAGGCCCTCGCCCTCCCCTCCCGCCCTCCCCCACACTGACTTGCTGTGCTGCCTTGGGCTGGCAAATGTCTCTGTGCCCACCATCCTTATTAGCAAAACAGGGTGGTGATCTGCACACCTCTGGGAGTGACGTGAACATTAAATTATGCCACATGCACAAGTGGCTTTACAGCAGTCGGCTCAGCCATTCTGCTCTGAGTTCGTTGAGGCGCAGGACATGTTTGTGTAGGGTCATCGGCAGCACTTGTTGGGCAGGCGAGACTGAGTTGAAGCCCTGGTACCAAAACAAGCAGAAAAGAACCCACATCTGAATATCTTACTTATTACCTTGACACAGAAGAAACCAACACTAAAAGTAAAACAGAATTCAGCTCCATTATGTGTGTTTTTTAGACTCAGGTCCCGTGTTTCTGAAGGGAGGTAGAGAAGCACGGTGAAGTCATCCCTGAATCCCTACGCTTTCCCTGTCTCGTCTCTTCCTTTTCCAAGAGGGACCGCTGGGGTAGTTGGTCTGCAGTGCTCTGATTGCGGAATCCTTTGACGTCTGGAGGCTGGGGAGCTTCGGCAGCCCTGGTACTAAATTGCTGCTACCCCTTACAGAAAAGAAAATAGTGGTCAGGATCCGTTTATTACCTAGAATAACACATTAAATGCAAGCAGCGGTCCTGAGCTGCTGGCTGGTGGGTTCTATGGAAGAGAACCAGCCAACCAGGGAGATTTCGGGGCAGAGAGGCTGGTGCCACCCTGGCTGGGACGGGGCTACAGTCCTGACAGGTCCTGAGGTTTCCATGCCGGAGGGAGCGGCAGGCCTGGGAGGCACCGCCCTGCCCACCCCACCCGCTCTTCCGGCAGATGGAAGAAGTGGGGTATAGACTCAGAGGTGTTTCTGCAGGTCCTAGCTTGGTGACCCCAAGTGTGGACTGCCCACACACAGCACTCAGGAAGTCTTTGGGGAAATTGTTTTTAAATCCTTTAAAGGTCAGAGGCATGGCTCAGATGGTAGACCACCAGCAGTGAAGAAAAATGTCAGATACCAGATTTGAGTCCTGGTCTCAGACTGGAAAAAAAAAAAAAGCAGCAGCAGCAGCCCTCAGGGATTCCAGCAGTCTACTCCTGGCCCCGGTGCAGCCCTACCTGTGGTGACGAGGGTGGGAGTCAGCCGGTGTCCCCGGTGTGCCATTTGAGACTCACCTTTCCATGTAAAGCTGTGGGCACACTTCCACTCCACAAAGAGGAATGAGCCTCCTCACAGCGTCTGGTAGTGTCAGAGAGAGAACAGGTGCCGCCGCCTGTGAGGTCGGGGCTGTTCCTGTGCGGTCAGTGTTGCCTGCTTGCTCTGAGAGTCAGGAGATAGACGTTATGATTTTTCTCATAAAGGATATGCGTGTTTGGACGGGGGTATGGCTCACCTAATAGAACACGGTTGTAGTAAACGTGAGGGCCTGAGTTCACCAGCATCCTGCCTGGCTTCAGCCCAGCCCTTCGCTGCTTCCACACTCTGCCTGGGCCTGAGATTTGCTAAGATGGTTGTGATCAGGTTTTGTCTGCCTCCAACCAAAGGCTCAGGACTGGAGTGCACAGGCCCGTGTCCTGGTGTTCCTGCCCCGCCCTCAGTGGGTGTGCAGCTGCACAGGGTGCCCTGTAGACCCCACATGACTACTCGTGCCTCAGTTGTTCCCGCTTGTGAGGAGTGACACTAAAGGTGTGTGTCCTGTGGAGGTGGGAGAAGCTGAGCCCAGGCTCATGTCAGGCTCTCATGTCCTGGTGCTCACGTGGTCTGGAAGGCCTGCTGAGGACTCAGACTCTTCTTCATCTTCAGAAGACAGGAATGAAATGAATGGGACTGCCCATCCCCCTCCTTCCTGTGTGGCCGTGTCTTCCCAAGGCTGCCAGGAGGGAGACACGCCGGCAGTGCAGAGGACAGTGTCTATGCATCAGTAAGCAGCTAATTCACATTATGAGCCATAAATCATATGCACATTTTAGTGAAGTGCATTAACATTCATCCACAATAATACACTGAATGTTTACTCATTTTTCTTCTCACTTGGTGGAGTAACAAGCACAACTGTGAGAACTTGATTCATTCATTTCATTTTAACTCGCAATATATTAGCAAAGCAAGTCATTAAAATGTGCTTTACAGGAGGTTATAATAATACAAACAAATAACTTTTATGAATGAGCTTTAATATGTTTCATTTGAATGTCAGACACAGTTTTTCCCATTCAAGATATTCATAATGAGACCTCAGATGAATCATGTGTAAAAATTAAGAAGTTTGAGGTTTTTCATGTCAGGAAAGAACAGTATTGTGTTTCATACACATCTCTGACATTTCCAGCAATTTCCATCGGTGACTTTAGCCTGGTTAGATTTGTTGGATGTCACTGGAACTTTCCAACATGCTGTGTGGGATCCTCTGCTCTTCGCTGTGAGCAGATCAGAGCATCTCCAGCACTGTCTGTAGCTGAGATCTTAGCAGTTTTATGCTAAGACGTTATTAGGGCTTTCTTTACGTTATATATGTGTTATTATGGCTATGCATTATTATGGCTTTCTTTCCGCAGCTGGAGAAGACTTGTTAATCTTACTGCTTTTCTCTTTGCCCATCATTTTTGTTAAAGTAACATCAGCACAGACTGTTAAAGACACACACAATTTCATGAGACCACCCAAGAAGGCCTCTTACTCTGGTGTGCACAAACCTTTCACCAGTCAGCAGCTGAGTCAGAGCCATGCCTGGGCAGGCACGGCCACTTCCAGGCTGTAAGCTCAGGAAACTGGAACACACGTAGTTAATATTTACTGTAGAATGTCTTTTCTGTTCATGGATGTAGTTCTGAATGGAAAGTGATTGCTGGGGATTAGGAGTGTGGTGCTGTGTTCGGGACAGACAGACATGTACTGAGGCAGTGTGTCCAGCAAAAGAAGGGACACTGATGGGCATGGCGTTCCCACAGGAGGAAAAGCCACCACTCAGAGACAAGACGTGTGTCCAGGGAAACACATACCGATCAGCAGTGGCCCTTGCAGCTTGAAAGCGAGAGGAAAAGCCCTGCCAGTTGGGAAAGGTTTGGTGGGGTCCTTTGCCCATGCTCTCTGTGCTGGTGATGGGGACGTCAGTGCTTCCTGGTCATGTGACGGTGGCCTTAGCACACATGGTCAGCCCTCTCTCAGGGACAGCCTCCAAGTCACCACATTTGCAACCAGAGAGGACACAGCCTCCCAGCCTGTGTCCACCCCACAGTGGACAGCAGTGGCCCCTCTGGGGTCAAGCTGACATGCTCCCCTTTCTCCTTCGTTTTCACTTCCCATGGCAGGCCGGTGCCTTTCTGGCACATTCCTCTTTCTTCGGTGGCAGTGTGGGTTTTTAGCAGTGCTGGGGACAGTCAGAAATACATTTTGCAGGAATATTTACATGTAATGTTTCTTAAATGCTGAATGAAAAGTGCTTCTATAGTATCATGCCAACCTGGATGCTTGGCAGATTGTAATTATACATGAGGATCTTCACGAAACACATCCATAGAGAAGCTGCTTCCTTATGAATTTTATCCTGCCAGACAGGCAGCTGTGGTGGTGGGAGCCTTGAGTGCTTTGTGGCCCTCAGCAGTACCCTTAGCACAGCCGACGCCGCTGGGCACAGCAGCTGCTCTTGGATGAGCTGGCCCAGCCAGACCAAGAGGGTCTGACTTACAACAGAACAGTTTTTGTGTTGTGTTATTGAGGTTGATGGACAGTACCCACACCTCTTTTGTCTTCTGAGCCCAATACCTGGACTTAAAGTCTATTACACCAAATTCACATGTCTTACATGCAGCTAATAGACACTGCTTTTTCCTAGCTGTTCTGTTCATATCTTAATTCTATAAACTGCATGTCTTTCCTAGGAGAGAGAGAGAGAGAGAGAGAGAGAGAGTGTGTGTGTGTGTGTGTGTGTGTGTGTGTGTGTGTGTGTGGTGTCCACCAGTCCTGGGACTTAAACTCAGAGCTTGGGTGCTGTATTTGCATTTTTTTTTTTGCTCAAGGCAGGTGTTCTACCATATAAGCCACAGCTCCACTTCCAGCTTTTTGGTATTTAATTGAGGATCAGAGTCTCACAAACTTTCCTGCAAGACTGGCTTAAACCAGGCTCCTCAGATCTCAGCTTCTTGAGTAGGTTGCAGGTGTAAACTATTGGCACTCAGCATCTTCCCACGAGGTGTATTTTGTTTTCATTAATCATACAAATAATTTTCTTTGTTTTTTTTTTGTTTATTGTTGTTTGTAAGTCTTGAACTCTGAGCTGGGGCGCTGTCCCTGATCTCTTCAGCTCAAGCTTAGCACTCTGCCACTTGAGTCACAGCACCACTTCCGGCTTTTTCAGTTTATATGGTGCTGAGGAATCGAACCCAGGGCCTCATGCATGTGAGGCAAGAGCTCTACCACTGAGGCACCTTCCCAGCCCACCCCCTGCATTTCTTGATAGGACTTTTTTTTTTAGCCATGATCTTGCATGGGTCACATTGTATATTATTGGACTTGTTTGCTATTTTATTTGTTAAAATTCATTTTATTAGATTCCATTTGATAATTTTTGGTACAATTTTTTTTGTTAAGCTATATTAATTTTGTTGAGGATTTTTGCTTCTGTTTGTGAAATATATTGCTGTTCAGTTTTCTTTTTCTTTTTTGTACTATCATTGTCTGGTGTTGGTATTAGCGTAATACTGACCTTTTAGAACAGATTGAGAGGTTTTCTCAGCTTCTGTTTTCTGAAAGAGATAAACAGAATAGGTATCATTTCTTCATTAACTGTTTGGTAGAATTAATAGTATTGGCTTTTAGGTATTTCTTTTTCTAATATATGCATTTAATGCAAAATAATCCTCAACATTATTTTGCCTCCTCTCAAAAATTTGTATTTTCATATAGTTCATGAGGGTGTGTGTGTGTGCGCGCGCGCACTTGCGTGCGTGCATGCATGCGCGCCAGTCCTAGAGCTCAAACTTATGACATTGGGCTATTACTGAACTTTTTTGCTCCAAGCTAGTGTTTCACCACTTGAGCCACAGCTCCACTTCTGACTTTTTTGGTGCTTAATTGTGGAGATAAGAGAGTCTCGTGGACTTTCCTACCTGAGCTGGCTTCAAACCCTGATCCTCAAGATCTCAGCATCCTGAGTAGCTAGTATTACAGGCATGAACCACCAGTGCCCAGCAGTTTGTGATATTTTTACATATCCTGAGTGCAGAAACTTCCGTGGGTTGATGGTGGTCATGTGTGGTACAGGTGGCTCCCCCTCATTTTGTATTGCAGATGATTTGCAAGCTGAATTGAGAACTCCCAGTTGAGATTATTTCTGTGCCTGGCTCAGAGTTTGTGGTTGTTGAGGTAGTCTCTCCACTGAAAAAAATTCTGGACCAGCAGAACTCCTGTCTGTTGGAAGTGGCACTGTCCTTACAGGAAACCAAAATAGTTTCTATTATAATTAAACTCAGCTGCTCATCTTCAAATACAAAGGTTATCTTGTGTTATTAGAAAAAGAAATTTCAAACATTTTAAACTCAATAATTGCTAACATTCTTTTCTTTGCATATTTTTTATTTGTGACTGTCTTTTCTGGACCTTATTAAACAAATCATAGCGCATCATAAAGTTTTTAAGATAATGAGCATTGACAGGAAGCTCATGTTTCATCGCACACCCTCTGTAATGTGAATGAGTAGAAGATGAATAGATTCAGGCAAAGAGGTTCAATGACAAAAGCCACACTGCTTGCTTTTTGACCATCTTTTGAGCTACATTGCAGGTCTGTGTATTAACAGCTTGGGCCTGTCTTGGGCATCCTCCACTGAATCCATGCAGTTGTCCTCTGCCGGCATTTTAGTCAGACTCTGTTGCTGTACCAAATACCACACAGAAAGAACATAACGGAGGAAGGTTTGGTCACCGTTTCCGAGGGTTTGCTCCGCGTTGCATGGTTCGTGCATTTGCATGGGAGCCCCTGACAGGAGGCGGCTTCTTCTCACAGCAGGCAGGAAGCAGACAGAAAGATGGCCAGGGCCAGAGACAAGATACAGCCCCACATGCAGTGACCTGTTTCCTCCAGCTAGGCCCCGCCTCCCCACGTCTCCAGGTCCCTCCAGAATAATACCGCCCGCTGGGGAGCGCGCTGCCACCGGTGGGCCTGTGGGGACGTTCCACCGTCACACCAGCACCAGTCCACCTCTGTGATCAGCGGACCAGGTGCCAGGCATGCAGGTGCAGGCTGCTCACATGAATACCACTTTCTCCTGTGGGATCACAGCTGTGTTTGGAGACTGGTTCCTTACGTGTCTCCCTAGCTCACCCTGCCAGGTGGCCTGGGTGACGGGGTTTCCGCCCCACCCCTCCTCTCCGAGGGGTGGCTCTGGGGCAGGGCTGCGGTGTCGGCATCTAAACAGACATTCTCCTCAGCTGGCAGTTTCCTCGCGCAGCCGCTGCCCCTCACTGGTGTCTCAGGATCACCTGCACAACGAATCTTACTTTCTGGGCATCTCATGTGCCTACTCTGAGAGCCCACACTCAGAGCCTTCTCATTGAGAGAAGAGCGCCCGAGTGGCCCGCTGGTCCCTGAGGGGCACCGCAGGTCTGTGCCAGTGTGTTGTATAGGACGGACGCCTCCCGAATGATTGCGGCCAGCTGAGACAATGGCTCTGGCATCCGTCCACACATCTCGATAATTATCCTGACAAATGTAGCTGCAACTTTGCAAAGAAACACATGTGTTTACTGATGCCACCAACAAGGGGATGGCTAGGTTCTGTCCTCACTTGCACCGGAGCACCTGCACACACCTCCTTCCCTGTGCCCGGTGAGAAAGCGTGCTGGTGCCAGCAAGTAGGCTCACTCCACCCTGTCTGCATTCCAGGCTCGATGGTCCCCTTCTCCATGCGCATCCTTCACGCGGAGCTGCAGCAGTATCTGGGCAATCCACAGGAGGCCTTGGACAGACTACACAGGGTCAGGACAGTCTGCAGCCAGGTAAGTGCTGGCCGTGGCCCCTCCCCTGAGCACACAGGACACGCCACGTGTTCTCCACGCCCTGCCCAGCTGTAGTTCTTCCCTCATGGAGCGTCGCATGGTATGGTATTCACGGCTCTGGTTGAAGTCACTCTCAGGGTGGAGGGTGGTGGCTGCAGAGCCTGAGTCTGACTGACTCCCTCTCCTTAGAACTCTTGGTAGATGAAAACCAGAGGCATTTCCTCATGTGGAAATCATACAGATTAGCGTGTCCAGCTTCCATCTGGCCATGCTGCAGCACGGCCTCTCCTGTATGCGCACGCGTGCCCCACACCAAGCAGACAGTGTCACAACATGTGTGAGGACGACCATCACTAGTAATGGATGCCAGAGGCCCACGAGGTCCAGAGTGCCTGTGGTTCCCAGTGAAGATGTAACAGTTAATGAAGGCACCATGCAGCATCTGATGCACCAAATGTGGGCTCCGTGTCGGGGGAGGGGAGCAGGTGGGCTAGCCCTGAAGCACAGAGAGGAGGCTCCAGATAGAAGGCTCCCACCCCAGGCACCAGAGGCTCACACTGTCATCCTACCTACTCCGGAGGCTGAGATCTGAGGATCACAGTTCAAAGACAGCCTAGGCAGGAAAATCTGTGAAACTCTTACCTCCAATTAATCACAAAAAGTGGGAAGTGGAGTTGTAGCTCAAGTAGAGTCCTAGCCTTGAGCACAGAAAGCTTGGGGACAGCACCCAAGCCTTCAATTCAAGCCCCAATGCTAACACACACATACACACGCACAAGCTCTTTCTCTCAATTTGATCTGAATGGAAAGGCAAGAGTGTTCTTTAAGGTATGAAGGCCCTGAAGAGACTGACAGAAAGCCAGAGGTGGTGTGGGCACCCTGGGGTTGGGCAGGAACATCTGGATTCCGCCCGGCTGCTTGTGATGTAGTAGGGCCTCCTGCCTCCAGGCTGCTGAGGGTTGGCTCGGTGACATGGCAGTGATACCGAACAGTGCTGGAAACCTCTCCCTGGAGGAACCTCAGGGGTTGTGGAAAGGCCTCAGGCCCAGGGCAGACCTGACCTACCCTAATCTGAGCCGAGGAGGCTCCAGTGAGCCCACAGGTCCTAAACATAGTGCCCGCCTCCAGCAATCTGCACTAATGCCTGTGACCCCACCCCACCACCCATCAGAGCCACATCCCATGACCCCTTTTCTTCACCTCCCACATCGCAGCCAAGGACAAAGATGCCCAGTTAGCGCACCTGCTCCTAATTACTGCATGTGATTCAGAACAAGGATTTGGGTTCTTGAAACATGAATAGGTTACAAATTGCCTTTTTAAGTATTGTGACAAACAAGTGCTGCAGGATAAATACGGAAGCTGACAGCTGGGCATTTATTCAAGTCATGTCATTTTCTCACTGGACACAGCCAGGTGGTTTTTTTGTTCTGTTTTTTTCCTAAACTGATTTGCCTTCCCTCCTTGCTTTGGGTGGATAGTGATAGTTGCACTGTCCCAGAAGCTGTCCAGGTTGAGCCAGGGCTGGGGACGGAGATGGCCCCTCCCCGGTCAGAGCTGCCCCTTGCAGACTGCCGTGTATGGAGCCAGCTCTAGCTCCCTGGCTGTCCCAGCCCTCCCACTTGCAAGCAGCCTGTTCCTGCTGGTGCAGTTGCTTCTAGAGATGAGCGCCTTCTAAGACACTTAATGAGGAATGTACAAACTGAATGTACAAATTAAACCTCCAAAGGGCTTTGGTATGCCGTTCCTTGTGGGAGGACTTAAATAAAAGTGCAACATGCCTTGTGCTCATCTGAGAGTAAGTTACCAGATGACATATTACAGATTGTTCCAGAACGCAGCCTTAAAACAGCAATGAATATTTTTCTCTTAAAAATAATCTTTATTTGGGGCTGGGAAGGTGGCTCAGTGGTAGAGTGCTTGCCTTGCATACATGAGGCCCTGAGTTTGATTCCTTAGTACCACATAAGCAGAAAACTGGAAGTGCCGCTGTAGCTCAAGTGGTAGAGCGCTAGCCTTGAGCTGAAGAGCTCAGGGGACAGTGTCCAGGCCCAGAGTTCAAGCCCCACTACTGACAATAATTAAAAAATAATCTTTATTTGGGATATAGTTTTTATTTTAGTGCGTGTGTGTACATACAGTCCTGGGGCTTGAACTCAAGGTCTGGGCACTGTCCCTGAGCTTTGCTCAAGGCTAGCGCTCCACCACTTGAGCCACAGTTCTACCTCCATCTAAATCAGCAGACGAGTACATTTCTTTTTAGGCAGTGTCACCCCTTCCCTTGCTCTCCCAATTTTTCTCTCCCCTCCCCACCCAAGTTGTATAGTTCATTTTCTTTTCTTTCTTTTTTTTTTTTTTTGACAGTCCTGGGGCTTGAACTCAGGGCTTCTTTTGGTCCAGGCTAGCACTGTACCTCTTAAGCCACAGAACCACTCTGGCTTTTTCTGTTTTTGTGGTACTAAGGAATTGAACCTAGGGCTTCATGCATGCTAGGCAAGCACACTACCACTGAGCCACATTCCCAGCCTTAAAATTCTCTAATATTTGTATATTGATTACTGAATTTACAGTTTGAAATTTTTTATGGAGTCTTTAGGCTATCTTGTATACAGTATTATAATCTACAAATAGGATAATTTAACCACTTTCTCTTCTGTTAGTATGCTTCTTATTTCTTATTCTTGCCTTATTTGTCTGGCAAAAACTATTAGTACTAAATTGACTAAGACTAGTAGGAGTGGAGACTTTATCTGGTTCTAGATCTTAGATTTTTAGCTTTCCCTCATTCATTGTGGTGGTGGGTGTGTATTTGTCATATATAGGTGTAAGCCTAAATTGTTCAGTTCTTATCATGAAGTAATGTTAAGTTTTATCGAATGTTTTTTCTGTCTCTATTGAGATGATCATAGCATTTTTTTGTTCGTCATTTGTCATGTTTGTCTATATTGATTTATGCATGCTAAACCATCCTCGCACCTCTGATTCAAATCCTGATTTAAATCAGGGTGCAAGGTCTTTTATATGTGCTGTTGGTTTTGATTTGGTAGTATTTTGCCAAGAATTTTTGCAGGAAATATTCCTCAGGAATATTGGTCTACAGATTTTTTTTTAATATTACTTTGCTGTCTTTTGTTATCATGGTAACAGGCTTTGTAGGATGAGTTAGAAGGGCTCCTTTCCTTTCAGTTCTTGAAATAATTTACAAAGAATATTGGTAGACCCTCTTTAAAATTTGGTAGAAGCTATGTGCCGGTGGCTCACGCCTGTAATCCTAGCTACTCAGGAGGCTGAGATCTGAGGATTGCAGTTCAAAGCCAGCCCAGGCACCGAAGTCCGTGAGACTCTTAACTCCAATAAACCACCAGAAAACTGGAAGTGTGCTGTTGCTCAGGTTGTAGAGCGCTCGCCTTGAGCTGAAGAGCTTAGGGACAGTGCCCAAGCCCAGAGTTCAAGACCCACGACCGACAAAAATAAAATAAATATAAAATTTGGTAGAGTTTATCAGTGAAGCCATTCAATCCTGGACTTGGCTTTGTTGGGGGACTTTTATTCCTTATTAAACCAAGCTAATCATTATTGATTTGTAGAGGTTCTCCATGTCTTGGTGGCTCAATGTTGGTAGGTTTTATGTGTCTAAACTTATACCTGTCCTCTGAATTTTCCCAGTTTGTTGGCAAATGTTGGTATATAATCATCTATAATGATCCTTTGAATTTCTGTGATATCAGTTGTATGATCTCCTTTTTTATATTTCATCCTATTGAGTCTAGCCAAACATTTGTCAGAGTGTCTTTTCAAACAACTCTTGCTTTTCAGTCACTTATTTCATTTATCTCTCTTGGACCTGTATTGTTTCTTTTTTTTTTTTTTTTGGGTCCGGTCGTGGGGCCTGAACTCTGGGCCTGAGCACTGTCCCTCAGCTCTTCAGCTCCAGGCTAGTGCCCTACCACTTGAGCCACAGTGCCACTTCCGGCTTTTTTCTTTTTGCTTATGTGGTGCTGAGGAATCGAACCCAGGGCCTCTGGCATGCAAGGCATGTGCTCTACCACTCAGCCACTTTCCCAGCCCCTGTATTGTTTCTTTTGAAATGTTAATTTTAGTTTGGCTTTGCCCTTCACTTTCCAAGTCCTTGAAACACATAGGTCATTTACTTGAAATTTCCAGAATTTTTTTTTTAATTTGAGCATTTACTATTAAAAATTTACCTCTTAGTACTATTTTTGCAGTATACTAGAATTTTTTGTATGTTGTTTAAATTTCCCTTTTGATTTCTTTGGTAGCATGTTGTAAAATCTGCATGAATGAGTTTTCATTTCTGGTTTGTTTTGTTGTTAATTTTTAGTTCAATTTTTTAAATTTGTTGAGACTTATTTTGTGGCCTAATTTATGGTATTTTCTATACAACATACTGCAAAACATACCATAAATTAATGGAATTGAATAAGAAGAGTGTGCATTCTGAAGCTGTTCAGAATTAATGTTTTATAAGTATCTGCTAAATTCGTTCAATCTATAAAATAATGTAACTCTGGTAGGGCAGGGTGGTTTTGTGTGTGTGTGTGTGTGTGTGTGTGTGTGAGAGAGAGAGAGAGAGAGAGAGAGACAAACTCAGACACACACTTTTTTTTTTTTTTTCAGGTAAGGGGTAGGTTTATTCATCGTTCTGGCTGGCACCAGGCCATCTTGGTCCTCCACGTGGTGGGGAAAGGCCTTGGAAAGAGAGCTGGGAGAGCTGGGAAAGAGAAGAGAAGGAAAGAGCTAGAAAAGAGCAGAGAGAGTGCGTCTGCACCTGGGCTAGGCCTTATCTAGGGTATGGGCGGAGAAAGGTGTGGCCACATCAAATTCAGATGCAGACACACACTTTTGCTCCACTTTTTCACTCAGCTGATGTTCTACCACTTTAGCCACACCTCCACTTCCAGCTTTTTGCTGGATAATTGGTGATAAGAGTCTCTCAGATTCATCTGCCTGAGCTGGCTTCAGACTGTGGCTCTAAGATC